TCCTGGGTCTGAGGGAGGAGGGGCCGGGGGCCTGGACTCCTGGGTCTGAGGGAGGAGGGGCCGGGGGCCTGGACTCCTGGGTCTGAGGGAGGAGGAGCCAGGGTCTTGCCCTCAGTCTCCCTCTGGAGAGCCTTAGTTTCCTTCCTGGGCCTCCTTCCACTCCCCGCTGTTACTCACCCTGTGTAGGGAAGGACACAGTAATTGTGGCCAAGGTGAACGGGAAGGAGCTTCCGGGCAAACCGACCATCAAGTGGTTCAAGGGGAAGTGGCTGGAGCTGGGCAGCAAGAGTGGAGCCCGCTTCTCCTTCAAGGAGTCCCACGACTCCGCCAGCAATGTGAGGATCCCGAGGGCCAGAGGGCCGGCAGGGGGAGTGGAGCTTGTGCAGGACGTGCTCCTCAGAAGTGCTGTTGCCTGAGGCATCGCTGTGGGCCTGGAGCCGGGATGGAGAGTGGGCCCTCTGAGGATGGAGGTTGTGCGGGGCTGCTGGGGAGAGGTTGTGTGAGGCAGAGGGGAGGATGCCTGGGGTTGGGTGGGGATGTATCTGGGCTTGGTCATGTACATTCCCGCCAAGGCCTGAGGGGGCCAGGGACATGGGCCCCAGAAGTCCCGATGGGTCAGGTGTGAGGAGACAGAGCTGGCCATCAGATGCTGAGCCCCCTTTCGGTCTCCACTGGCCCCCCTGTGGGGTGGGGGTAAGGACTTGGAGATAGAGCTATGAGTGGACTCTGAGAAATATGGGGTGGCTCTAGAGGGTGGTCCCGTGCACCCACACCCCCGGCCCTGGACCCAGGTGTACACCGTGGAGCTGCACATCGGGAAGGTGGTACTGGGGGATCGTGGGGATTACCGCCTCGAGGTCAAAGCCAAGGACACCTGCGACAGCTGTGGCTTCAACATCGACGTGGAGGGTACGCTGGTGGGGGGTGGGGGAGCAAAGGGTTCTGTGCCTGGGGGGTGGGGGACAGACGTACCAGCCAGGTGTTGGGAGAGTGCATAGGCATGGGCATGAGGTGGGCACAGGTTTTTGGAGGAGGAAGTGCAGATTCTGGGGTCAGAGCATTCAAACTCAGGGAGATTTAGCATGGGAGGAGGTCTGGATTTGGGGGTTGAAAGTGTTCAGGGTCTTGGGATGCACATGCAAAGGCTTAGGAGGTGAGTTACACACATTCCACGTTCAAGAAAGTAGGCATAAAGCCTTGGGAAGTGAGGAGGGTGTCCAGGTTTAGAGAGTGTCCAGATTTAGAGAATAAGGGCATATAGGTTTAGGGTGAGGGTGTACAGGATTAACAGGAAATTACACGGATTTGAGGGCACATATATGGACCCCTGAGGGTATACGGGCTCTGGGGGACTGCAGCCCAGAATGTGTGAGGGCTTAAATGTGGGGTGCACAGGAAATGAGATTGTCCAGGCCTAGGGAGAAAGACAAGCTGGCCCAGGTGCGGGAGTATAGGCTGCTGAGAGAGGGTGGAGCTGGGCAGTGGGAAAATGAGTATGAGCTGGTCTAGAACTAGAGGATGCCCAGGCCTCAGTGAGAGTGTGCTGGTCCAAGAGATGGAGAAAAGGGGGCCTGGAAGAGGTTGTGCAGGCCTAGAGAGGGGCTCTCAGTCTTAGATCAAGCCTGGCCTCCAACTCACCTTCCCTTCTCTCATCACCTCTCCCCAGCACCCCGTCAGGATGCCTCTGGGCAGAGTCTAGAGAGCTTCAAGCGTATGTAAGTGACCCCAGGCCCTTACCAGGGTCCCAAGGACCGTGGGAAGCTCTCCCTTGGGAGGGGAAAAAGGGAGGACTGGGGAAGGCAAGGGGTGAATCTGAAGGGTCAATACTCACACCCCCTCTCAATGGCCACAGGGGTGAAGGGAAGTCGGATACTGCAGGTGAGCTGGATTTCAGCGGCCTGTTGAAGAAGAGGTGAGCCCCGCACCTGGCACAGAGAGGGGAGATGGGGCTCAAGGGGAGGAGGTGGTGGGTGAAGCTCCATGGCCCGTTGCTTCCTCCTGGACCCACTTCTTACCCCTCTACCACCTCCATCTGTTCACTCCCTGCTCACCCACTATGTAACACACCAACCCATCAGGCTGCCTGTTCATTCACCCATCTACCCATTCACCCAGACCCCTACCCACACCCCCACCCAGCCAACCATCTGCCACGAATTCACCCACCTCCCCACCCTTTAATCCACCATTCTCACACCCACGCTCCTGTTCACTCAGGCTCTAGTTCACCTACTCCTCCACCTACTCACCCTCCCATCCATCCATCCTTCCATCCATCCACTTTCCACCCACCAATCCATCCACTCACCCACCCATCCAACCAGTTGCCTATTTATCCATCTACTAATGCATCTATCCACCTACCTGCCCAGTTGCCAATCCATCTGCCCACATATCCTTCCATTAACTACCATCTTCCCACCTGTTTACCTGCCCATCTGCCATTACAGTCAGCCAGGCTACATGGGGAGGTGGATGAGTAACGGGTGCATGGGATGTTGGATTTGGTTGGGAGATGCAGGTGAAGATAGACAGGTGGGAAGGTGGGTGGATGATACGGATGAATGGGTGGTGGAGAGGTGGGAGGATGGGTTCCTCAGTAGGTGGGGAAGTGGATGGATGGATGGGGTGGGTGGAGGATGAATGGATGGGGTCATGAATAGGTGTCTGAGTTCACCAATGAAGAGGTGGGCAGTTGACACACCCATCCACACAGATAGCCTTCTGTTAGATTGAACTATGTGAAATTGATGTTCTGTAGGTAAAAATGATTGAAAGTCTGGGCGCAGTGGCTCACGCCTATAATCCCAGCACTTTGGAAAACCAGTGTGGGAAGATTACTTGAGCCCAGTAGTGTAAGACCAGCCTGGGCCATATAGGGAGACCCTGACTCTACAAAAAAAAAAAAAAAAGAAAAAGAAAACTTAGCAGGGCATGGTGGCATGTGCTTGTGGTTCTAACTACTTAGGAGGCTGGGGTAGGAGGATAGTTTGAGCCCAGGAGATCAAGGCTGCAGTGAGCCATGATGGCACCACTACACTCCAGTCTAGGCAACAGAGTGAGACCGTTTCAAAAACAAAACAAAACAAAATTAAATATTGGCAATCTTATACTCATTATCTGCTGGCCCACTTATCCATCTTCACTTGCCCATCAATCCCCATAACCAAATCCCTGACAATTCCATTTGCTGATCAATTCTATCTCCAGCCAGCCAGCCGCTTCTTTGGCCACTTCCCATCAACACATTCACCCAACTGTGCAGTCAGTTCTCATCAACCCATCAGTCCATCCACTCACTCACCTGTCTTCCCCCAACCCATCTGCCTGTCTTCCCACCCACCCTTCCATTGACCCACCCACCTACTTATCAGCCCACTTACTCACCATCCTCTACATCAATTCAAATATTCATGTCCCCACATTCACCTCCACATCTATCCTCTCTTTGTTCCTTTCCCTTCCTTCCTTCCTTCCCTCCCAGGCTCCATCCATGCATTCACTCACTCCCTTACCCATCATCCATCTTCCGAGGCCTCCCGTCTACTAGGTCCTGGGCTGAGATCCAGGGAGAGAGAACAGTTTGACCGGGTCCCTGATGTGAGATCACTCATTGCCTTGGGAAATGGGTCTGGTCTAACAGACATGGACACAGACTGAGACTATGTGGTGTGATTTTAGAGAGGGTCCCACCGGGGCCTGTGAGAGCCCAGAGCACGAGCAACTCACTGCCTTGGAGGACAGGGAATGCCTCAGGGAGAAGGGAACTTTGGTGCTAGGTCTTGTAGGATGAAGAGGAGTCCAGGAGGAAGAGAAGGTGGGGAGACATCATGAAGGTAGGGAAACACTTTGTGCAAAGGCTGGGAGGCAGGAGAGAGGCTGAAGTGTTCAGCAAGAGACAAGCAGCTTGGTTCAGGTGGCTTTGTGAGTGGTGATGGAAGTAGCTGGGGCGTGACTGCCAGGTGCAGGGCTGGGGCTTCCTCCTGAGGGCAGTGGGGAGCCACGGGAGAGTTCCAAACATGAAAGGGAGAGCCACGGAAATACCCCACAGGATAAAAGAGGGCAAAGAGGGTACAATGTGTACTGCTTGGGTGATATGTGCACCGAAATCTCACAAATCACTACTAAACAGCTTACTCATGTAACCAAACACCACCTGTTTCCTAATAACCTATGGAAATAAAATAAATACATACATAAATGTAAAGAAATACCCCGCGGGCCAGGCACGGCGGCTCACACCTGTAATCCCAGCACTTTGGGAGGCCGAGGCGGGTGGATCACTTAAGGTTAGGAGTTCGAGACCAGCCTGTTCAACATGGCGAAACCCCGTCTCTACTAAAAACACACAAATTAGCCAGGAGTGGTGGCGTGAGCCTGTAATCCCAGCTACTCAGGAGGCTGAGGCAGGAGAATCGCTTGAACTTGCAGTGAGCCGAGGTGGAGCTTGCAGTAAGCCGAGATCACACCACTGCACTCCAGCCTGGGCGGCAGAGTGAGAATCTGTCTAAAAAAAAAAAAAAACAAAAACAAAAAAACCCAGTGGGGACCGTGCCGGGAAGAGGCCAGGAGACCCCAGGAAGAGGCTGGGGCAATGGACCAGGTGGGAAACAATAAGGCCCCTAAAGGGAAGGTGACTTGGGTGAGTCACAGAGCCAATGAGTGAAGAAGGCAGAAGGACATCCTCCCCTCCTCACTCCCTGATGGCCCCTGTCCGTTCCCCCAACCCCAGGGAGGTGGTGGAGGAAGAAAAGAAGAAGAAAAAGAAAGATGACGATGACCTAGGCATCCCCCCGGAGATCTGGGAGCTCCTGAAAGGGGCAAAGAAGAGCGAGTACGAGAAAATCGCCTTCCAGTATGGCATCACCGACCTCCGGGGCATGCTGAAGCGACTGAAAAAGGCCAAGGTCGAGGTCAAGAAGAGTGCAGGTCAGCCCTGGTCTGGGGGGAGCTGGGCCCTGCACACAGGGACCCCTAGCCTCGTGGGTATCTGATGATTGGACCCTGGACCTATGTTTTCGAGGTCCCAATGAGGTAGGAGGCAAGACCCAACTCTAGTGGTGGGCCTCGGACGCTGGACCAAATTGAGGACTAGCTAAAACAGGGACAGGGTGGAAGCAGCTTTCCATAAGACATGCCCACCAGTGTGCCATGTCGGTTTACTGTGGCCATGGCAACGGCCAGGAGTTACTGCTCCTTTCCTTCGTAACGACCAGACCACCCAAAGGTTACCATCCTTTTCCTAGCAATTTCCATATAACCCGCTCCTGAATCTATAAGTAATTAAAAGTGGGTATCAATCTGACTGCAGGTCTGCCCTGAGCCATTGCTCTCTGTCTCTGGGGTAGCCCTGTTCCACAGGAGCAGTCAGGGGGCTGTAACACTGCCACTTCAATAAAACTGTTTTCAGGCCGGGCACGGTGGCTCACGCCTGTAATCCCAGCACTTTGGGAGGCCGAGGAGGGCAGATCACTTGAGGTCCGGAGTTCGAGACCAGCCTGGCCAACATGGTGAAACCCCGTCTCTACTAAAAATACAAAAATCAGCCGGGCATGGTGGCGCGTGCCTGTAATCCCAGCAACTTGGGAGGCGGAGGCAGGAGAATCGCTTAAACCGGGGAGGCAGAGGTTGCAGTGAGCTGAGATTACACCGTGGCACTCCAGTCTGGGGAACAGAGTGAGACTCTGTCTAAATAAATAAATAAATAAATAATCTGTTTTCTTCTACCTACCACTGGCTTGCCCTTGACTTCTTTCCTGCGTGAAACCAAGAACCCTTGCAGGCTAAGCCCCAGTTTGGGGTCCCCTGCCCTGCATCACCACCAGAGGAGTTCTCAAGGGTCTCTAAGTTCATAGGAGGCCTCCTGACTTCCTCACTTTGACTTTGGAGAGCCCATGGCCTGGGGAGGGAGATGTGGAGCCTCAGGGGATGACCAGGGGAGTGAGGACCACGTGCCTCCATCCCCTCTGTATGCCTCAATCTCCAGCATTCACAAAAAAGCTGGATCCAGCCTACCAAGTGGACAGAGGCAACAAGATCAAGTTGATGGTAGAGATCAGCGACCCAGACCTGCCCCTCAAGTGGTTCAAGAACGGCCAGGAGATCAAACCAAGCAGCAAGTATGTGTCGGGGGGTCGGTCCCTGTACCGGGGAGATCCCAGTCCAGAGAGAATGCCCAGAGACAAGGCCCATCACTCTTAACTAGAAAGGGCACACTCACCTCTATATGAAAAGTACAGGCCAGGCGCAATGGCTCATGCCTGTAATCCCAGCACTTTGGGAGGCTGAGGTGGGCAGATCACCTGAGGTCAGGAGTTCGAGATCAGCCTGGCTAACATGGTGAAACCCCGTTTCTACTAAAAATATAAAAAATTAGCCGGGTGTGGTGGCACATGTCTGTAGCGCCTATAATCCCAGCTACTTGGGAGGCTGAGTCAGAAAAATTGCTTGAACCCGGGAGGCGGAGGTTGCAGTGAGCTGAGATCATGCCATTGCACTCCAGCTTGGGCAATAAGAACGAAACTCTGTCTCAAAAAAAAAAAAAAAAAGAAAAAGTATACATAGATGAGGCCAGGTGTGGTGGCTCACACCTGTAATCCCAGCACTCTGGGAAGCCGAGGTGGGAGGACTGCTTGAGTCCAGGAGTGGAGTTCAAGACCAGCCTGGCCAACATAACAAAACCACATATCTACAAAAAATATACAAAATTAGCCAGGCACAGTGACACACGTCTATAGTCCAGGCTGCTCGAGGGGCTAAGGCAGGAGGACTGCCCAAGCTTGGGAGGCTGAGGCTGCAGTGAGCTATGATGGCACCACTGCACTGTACTCCAGCCTGGGCAACAAAGTGAGACTCTGTCAAAAAAAAAAAAAAAAAGAAAAGAACAGAAAAAGAAAATTTAACAACAGTGTTTCTGCTCTCCAAATGGGCAAAACCTTGCGAAATTCTAAAACCCAGTGCTGGAGAAGAATAGCACAAATGTTGCTAGTGGGAATGTAATTTGGCGAGTTTCCCTAAGGGTAATGTATTAAAAAGTCTTCAGGTTGTGCAATCCTAGGTAGGTATTGTGAGGAGTTATCATGACTGTGCGTATTTAGCCACAAGGATGTTTGCTGAGGCATTTGCTATCATAGCAAAGAATGGAAAACAATCGAAATGTAGTTTCATACCAAGACACTCTGCAGTCACTCAAACAAATATTCATAATAGCTGAATGCAGTGATTCACATGTATAATTCCAGCAATTTGGGAGGCTGAGGCGGGCGGATGGCTTGAGCCCAGGAGTTCGAGATCAGGCTGGGCAACATGGTGAAACTCCGTCTCTACTAAAAATACAAAAATTAGCCGGGCATGGTGGTGGGCACCTGTGGTCCCAGCTACTTGGAAGGCTGAGGCAGGAGGATCGCTTGAACCCAGGAGGCAGAGGTTGCAGTGAGCTGAGATCTCGCCTCTGCACTCCAGCCTGGGTGACAGAGTGAGACCCTGTTTCAACAACAACAACAACAACAACAAACACGTCACAAGACAACCTTTTTAAAATTAATTAATTAATTAATTTTGTTGCGAGACGGAGTTTCGCTCTTGTTGCCCCGGCTGGAGTGTAATGGCATGATCTCAGTGCACTGCAACCTTTGCCTCCCGGGTTCAAGAGATTCTCCTGCCTCAGCCTCCCAAGTAGCTTGGGATGACAGGAGTGCCCCAACACATCTGACTGATTTTTTTGGGTGTATTTTTGGTAGAGATGAGGTTTTACCATGTTGCCCAGGCTGGTCTTGAACTCTTCAAGCAATCTGCCCACTTCAGACTCTGAAAAATGTTAGGATTACAGGTGTGAGCCACCACGACCGGTCCCGCCGTGGTTATTCAAATAATAGGAATTGCTAGCCTGGACAACATAGCGAGATACCGTCTCTACAAAAAAAATTAAAAAATTAGAAGATACCAAGAAAAGAGAAAAAAAAATTTGCTGGGTATGGTGGTGTGTACCTGTGATCCCAGGTACTCAGGGGCTGAGGTGGGAGGATCGCTCGGACCCAGGAAGTCTAGGTTGCAGTGAGCTCTGATCGCACCACTGCACTCTAGCCTGGGTGACAGAGTGAGACCCTGTCTCAAAAATAAATACAAATAAATGAATAATTGAAACTGGGCTCTCAATCCCTTTCCACACAATTTGGCTCTAAGAGAGAGAGACTTGCCTTGAGAACAGGTGAGCAGAGTTACCAGGGCTAGGTGGATGCTACATGCCCTGGTTTGAGGTGAGACTTTTGCATCAGGTACGTGTTTGAGAACGTTGGTAAGAAGCGAATCCTCACCATCAACAAGTGCACGTTGGCGGATGACGCTGCCTATGAAGTAGCTGTGAAGGATGAGAAGTGTTTCACTGAGCTCTTCGTCAAAGGTGAGGCTGGATTCAGGCCTGAGCCTGGAGAGGGACTGGAACTCTGGAGGGGGTCCTGAAATGACTGACCTCCTGTCCCCCTGCCCCACAGAACCTCCAGTCCTGATTGTCACACCTCTCGAGGACCAGCAGGTGTTTGTGGGTGACCGGGTGGAAATGGCAGTGGAGGTGTCAGAAGAGGGTGCCCAGGTGATGTGGTAAGTGACCCTTGATCCTTGATCTCCATACAGGTGCACATAGCTTCTTTGCCTCTGCCCTGATCTTTATGGGACCTCTTGCGACTTCTCTTGGAGATTTCTGACCTTTACTCAGTAGTCACCCCCAGGAGATCTCAGCTTTTCTCTATAAATCCTTACCTTCACCTAAAATTGTTTCTAGAATTTCTGACCTCTACCCATCCTATCCTCTTCAGCATCCTTTTCCTGATCTCCACTGTTCCATTAAATATTGATTCATCTGACCAATCATCTGTCCCTTGGTCCATCTATCCATGTATCCACTCATCCACCTACTCCATCCATCCATCCATCCATCTGTCCATCCATCCATCCATTTACTTAACCATTCATCCACTCATCCATCCATGCATCCATCCACTCATCCATTCGTCCATCCATCTACGCACTTAACCATCCAACTGTCTACTTAACCATCCATCCATCCACTTAACCATCCATCCATTCATCCATCCATCCACCCACTTATCCATCCATCCATCCATCTACCCACTTAACCATCCAACCATCTACTTAACCATCCATCCATCCATCCATCTATCCACTTAACCATCCATCCACTCATCCATCCATCCATCCATCCATCCATCCATCCATCCACTAATCCATCCATCCATCCACTCATCCATCCATCCATCCATCCATCCATCCATCCATCCATCCATCCATCCACCCACTTAACCATCCATCTACTTAACCATCCATCCATCCATCCATCCATCCATCCATCCATTAACCATCCACCCATCCATCTATCCATCCATCCATCCATCCATCCATCCATCCATCCATCCATCCATCCATCCATCCCATTGACCCATTCATCTATCTACTCATTCATATATCCACTCTTCCATTTATGTTGCCATCTAGTCATCCATTGACCTATCAATCCAGAGATCTATCCATCCACTCACTCACTCACTCATCTGCATACTTACCCACCATCTACCCATCCATTCATCCATCTATGTACCTATTCACCAACCCAACCAATATTTATCAGGCACCTGTTGTGTGGTGGTACTCTTCTACATATCAGGTATATAATGGGGAGAAAAAAATGTCAACATGGTACCTCCCTTCACAGCATTTATAATCTGCTAATTTGGTGACAGTAGTGGTGGTGGTGGTGTGTGTGTGTGCGTGTGTGTGCTTAGGAGACAGAGCTAGGCATTAGTCAAGTCATCACATACATACATATAAAAGTTCCATTTTGAGACTGGTTTGAAAGGAGCAGTAATGGATTCTGTAACAGCTTCCCAGGAGGAAGGGACTTAGGAGGTCAGGGAAGGCTTCCTGGAGGAGATGACAATTGAGCTGAGATCTGAATGATGTGGAGATATAAGTGAAGAGAGAAGGGGAGAGTGTCCTGGACAGGGAAAACCACTGGCAGAGGCCTCAACATGTGATGTTTCTCTGAGACCCTAGGACTTCCTCTGTGCTCACCTCTGCCTGTGACATCTTTTTGGGTCCCCTGACTTCCAGCCAATACCTTGAGGCAATTAACTGTGTGTGGCCTGTGACCTCCTCCTCTCTCTCCACGCTGCCTTTTTTTTGTTGTTGTTGTTGTTGTTGTTGTTGTTGTTGAGACAAAGTCTCACTCTGTCACCCAGGCTGGAGTGCAATGGTGTGATCTTGGCTCACTGCAACCTCCACCTCCCGGGTTCAAGCAGTTCTCCTGCCTTAGCCTCCTGAATAGCTGGGATTACAGGTGCCCGCCACTACACCTGCCTAATTTTGTGTGTTTTTTTTATTAGAGATGGGGTTTCACCATGTTGGCCAGGCTAGTCTCGAACTCCTGACCTCAGGTGATCCACCCACCTCTGCCTCCCAAAGTGCTGGGATTACAGGCATGAGCTACTGTGCCTGGCCCTCTCACTCCCCTTCACCTGACCTGTGACCCTTCCACCACTCAAGATGCCTCTGCCACCCTTTATGTCTCCTCTCTCTGGGGACCTGCCTTCTGACCCCTCTGCGTGGGCCCCCGACTGACTCTCCAAGACCCAGTCCGAGGGCTGTGCTGTCTCCTTACATCCCGCTCCGTGTCTCATTCCACCTAGGATGAAAGATGGTGTGGAACTGACTCGGGAGGATTCCTTAAAGGCCCGGTACCGCTTCAAGAAGGACGGGAAGCGCCACATCCTCATCTACTCAGATGTGACCCAGGAGGACGGGGGTCATTATCAGGTCATGACCAATGGCGGCCAGTGTGAGGCCGAGCTGATTGTGGAAGGTACGGGGCCTCCAGGTGGGGCAGGGGCTGTACTGCGCATGCTTCTCCACACAGCTTGAGGTTGCTCAGGCCCCCAGTCTGGAAGTTGTTCCTGACTCCTCTCTTTCCCACACACCCTGTGTTCAGCCCACCAGGGAGATCTGGTGGCTCCAACTTCAAAGTCAATTTTGAATCCAGCCAAGCTTGGTGGCTCACGCCTGTAATCCCAGGACTTTGGGAGGCCGAGGCGGGTGGGTCACTTGAGCTTAGGAGTTCAAGACCAGCCTGGCCAACGTGGTGAAACTCCACCTCTACTAAAAATACAAAAAAATTATATTTTTATAATTTATTGAGCGTGGCAGCGTGCACCTGTAGTCCCAGCTACTTGGGAGGCTGAGGCAGGAGAATTGCTTGAACCTAGGAGGCGGAGGTTACAATGAGCCGAGATTGTGCCACTGCACTCCAGCCTGGGCAACAGAGCAAGACTGTCAAAAAAAGAAAAGAAAAGAAAAAGCTGGGCGGGGTGGCTCACACCTGTAATCCCAGCATTTTGGGAGACCAAGGCGGGTGGATCACTTGAGGTCGGGAGTTAGAGACCAGCCTGGCCAAC